AAAGCTGGTGTGTTATTCCTGTACACCCATACTGTGTTCAGCTACATCTGCAGAGTACAACGATATGCCTTTGGCACTATTCTGTAAAGCTACAATGCCATATAGGAGACCATGCTATTTCAGTTTCTATAGTTGGAATTTTCATAGATGGTCCTATGTCTGATTTTGTGGCATTATAGAAGTTTGACTGTTCAAATAACCCCACAAAGGCCTTCCATTTTAGAAAGCAGACTTTCCAGAGTATCTTATTAGGCATATATTTTACCTTTACTTGCCACCATTTTTCATAAATTTATTTCAAATTTATTGTGGTGAGAACTTTTATTTTTTATTTTTTACATTCATATTTGCTGGGTATTTCATACATTTTACAAGTGCCACTGTCACAATTCCCCCCCTAAGTATGCTCCGTTACATCTTCTGAGTAAAGCAATATGCCCAATGTATGACTTAGCCAATATTTTGTGAAGTTACAGTGCTGTAAAAAGAGACCTGTCAATTTCAGATTAAGTGTGACTTAACCCTGCAATGTAATTATTGCAGTTTGTAAAAACTGCAATAGTTACACTTGCAGGGTTAAGGGTGATTGGAGTTGGCACCCAGACCACTTCAATGGGCTGAAGTGTCTCTTTAAATACTTTAGTTTATTTAGCACTATTGAATTTGTCTCCAATGCTGGAATTAGTATAGGACCACCAGTAGCTGGGCTTAAAACATATGGTGGAATTATATTTACATTTTGTGACTTGTACTTCAGATTAATAGTTCATACACAATATTCACATGTCAAAATTATTTTAAAAATAAGCCTGATTAGAGTGTGGATGCTATTTTGGCACATACCAACTATTTTGCAGACCATGTACACATGTTCATGGCAATGGTGTTCCCTGATGGCAGTGGTTTCTTTCAGCAGGATAAAGCACCCTGCAACTCTGCAAAAATTGTTCAGGAATGCTTTGAGTAACATGACAAAAAGGTGGTGCATTGGACTCCAAATTCCCCAGATCCCAATCTGAATGGGTAGCTATGGGATGTGCTGGTACAACAACTCTGATCCATGGAGACCCCACCTCACAATTTGCCGGACTTAATACTCCTGCTAATGTCTTGGTGCCAGATACCACAGGACACGTTCAGAGGTTTTGTGGAGTCTATGCCTCTAAGCATCAAAGTTGTTGATGTTGTCAGCATCAGGGAAACCGTACACAATATTAAGCAGGTGGTTTTAATGTTGTGGCTAAGAATGTATTTCTCTTTAAAATGTAAGAAAGTAGGTACTACTTTGTGTTATGTATTTTTTTTAGGTTTAGCAATTCTGACAAAGGATGGAGTTTAAGTCAAGCTCCACTATCTTGCCCTTTGTCAAGATTGCCAAGCGCAGCAGAAAAAGAAAAACAGTGGCCACCGGGTGCAGGGGAAGGTGAATTATAATAACTTGAATTTGTCCCTGACAGCCACCATGATGTTCCTGCTGGTGCTCTTCGGCTCCTGGAGCTTTAGCTGCCAAGTACCCATATCTGGATTAAATTCTTGTGCATTTGAGAAAATACAACACGGAGGTCGATGGAGAATCCAGCGAAACTACGTGATCCTCCATCGACCAATACTTTTGCTCTACAGCCATCACTAGTATGGCTATTTGGAAATGACAAAAGTAGCTGCCTTTGGCATTTTTCCTATATTTGACAAAACTTGATCAAATATGTCTCTTGATTTTGTTGGAATTGCAGTGAAATTCCAAAATAGTCAATGTGATTATTTCATAAAGGGGAGGTTGACAGTGCTGCTTTAAAATCACCATGACTGCAACAATCGAATTACTCTCAGCACCTATCCATAGTAAATGACAAGTGGCAAGCAATTCATTCCTGATACACAATTAGAGCGAGGCAGGCTGGATTGTGTCCATTCAGTCTTATGATCTCACCAATCGGCCCAGTACTGTGTTTCTTAAACTCCATTTCCCAGACAATGCATGAAGTAAAGTTGCATATCCACATACACGTCAACACATATCACATGATGTTACTGACATCTGTGTAGGAGGTTCGCAGTACACCTTATTGTCATCTGCTGCCACATATAGGATTATGCAGTTTTATATTTTTTTTCACAGCACGGATGGGTAAAAAAACAGGGTGTAAAAATGTATCCTTAAAGGGACCCTCTAGGCACCCAGACCACCTTTGCCCATTGGAGTGGTCTGGGTGCCAACTTCCACTACCCTTAACCTTGCAACTGTAATTATTGCAGTTTTTTTGTTTGTTTTTTTATAAACTGCAATAATTACCTTGCAGGGTTAACTCCACCTCTAGTGGCTGTCTACTAGAGGGCACGTCCTGATTCATAGCAAACATTTTCTTTGCTAGAGCGTCGCTGGACGTCCTCACGCTGTGTGAGGACCACCAGTGTCACTCGATTCCCCATAGGAAAGCATTGAAAATGTTTTTTAATGCTTTCCTATGGGGAGACCTAATGCACATTAGGTTTCCTCAGCCAGCGGGCGGTATCAGTCTCTCCCACCGGCTGACGTGATTACTGGGAGGAGCGACACTGACCCGAAACCACCGCCAAGGGACATCAGCTGGGTCTCAGATAAGTGACCTGAAGGGGTTTTCACCTTTCAGCTAACTGGGGTGGGAGGGAGAGGGTACCTGCAGTGCCAGGAAAACTGATTGTTTTCCTGGCACTGGAGTTTTCCTTAAATGTTTTTAGAATGAATGGGCTAAAAACAGGTAGTGCAACCACTCAACGTACATATTCTCAACATAAACGTCTGCACTCTGACAGAGCCAAACTCTACAGACTAATGCAGAAATCGGTTAGTCCCACTAGTATGCGTATAGGGTATTGGACCAGTATCTGTTTAACTTTACTTAGACACAAGTTATCTTGCAGGATTTTGCAAAATACCTAAGTCCCACTTCTCAAACTGTCTGCTTGAGATTACATCTTCAGAGGAAGAAACACTGCTCCAATTCTACATGGCCATGTGTCAGGATCGATCAGAGGACCCTCAGCCAGATGAGAGGCAGTAATCCTAACAAGGAAAAGAATAAAAGTCATGATTACGGACTGGAACAGGTCAACAAACAAGCCGGGTCTGGAACACGAACAGGGTAATCATACAAGCCAGGTGATCGGATACACAAATACAGGAGATCAAGAATAGTGATGTCGCGAACCGTGAAGCTGCCTTCAACATGGATGCTGTCCAGGAAGTAGGAGGGTCTGGGAGGGAGGGTCTGCCGGAGATTGGCAGGGATGTGTCAGCTGACCGGAGTTTGCCACGAACCGTTCGCGGCAAGTTCACGAACGGTTCGCGACATCACTAATCAAGAATTGTTAGAAAATAAGTCTTGTGAAAAACTGGAAAACAATACAGGAGAAATGCACTTCAGGGCTCGTAAACCATTAAAGGAAATCAGAGCTCACTACGAACAGGGAGGCCATGCATCCAGGAGTAACCATTAAGAAAGGCAACACCTGGGTTACCCACAGGTGCCCTACAAAATAAAAAATAGTTGGATGAGAAGTAACCAGTCATCTTTCTGGAATTTTACCAGTAAAGCTGGTTCTACTGTGTCACAGCATGCAGAGGTAGTGGAAAACAAGGGTTCAAGGCCAACAGAGGTAGCCTTCCTGACACCGTGCCACACAAATGCACCCTACATTCACACACTGAGATTTCTCCCCACACGATCACACACACTGACACTCCACACCAAAAAACATTCATGCACTGACACTTCACACTTTGTAACACAGCATTCATTTCCACATCTTGTTTCAGATAAAACAACATTTATTCAGAGGTTATTTTACAAAACAGAACTTTAAAATGGTATACAGAAAAATACCTTACAATACAATTCCCATGTAACAAATAAAAGAAAAAACATTGAAGGTACAGAGAATAACAAATATTTTCTCCATCACAGAGAAGAACAGTGCCATCTCTTGCACAAAATATTTTATTTTGCTAAAATCAGCTATTGTGTCCACAGCTCCCCACCCACCCAGCTGCCAGAATGTAGATCATGTACACGGAGCACAGAAGCTTTCATACAGTCAGGAGCCAATTTGTTTATCTGATAAGTAACGGACAGAGCTGGACATAAGGGTAATGAGACAGTACTCATCCAACATGAAGACTGTTTTGTAACATCTAGCCTGACTGCTCTATTCAATACAAATTTTATATCTGAAATCGTGTACTGTTTATGACACGATCGATGAAATAATACAGAAAAGTGTGTAAACAGTTATATATAAACCATATATGAGTGGTTAAAAACATTAAGAGCGTTATAATCGGTGTGTGAAAAACGTTTAACAACATAGTTGTTGTGTCAATTTTTCACCATTTCCAAGCCATGGTTCTTAAAACCCATTCTCATGAACCACCAACTCTATTCCAAAGAGGACAGTAAAAACACCTGTTGGGTCAGTGGTATTTGAGGTGCAGCAATCTTCGATCATCTTCAATCATCTTCATGCTGTTGGACATGGGTGAAACATAATGAACAACTCCATAAAGCTGAATACCATATGTTGTAGTGTTGCAGTCTACACACCCAATAAAGAAGTCTTATAAGGTCCATTAAGGCCACAGGTTCAACGTCCATAGCAGTACAACATACTCTAGGAAAAGAGTAGTAGGAAGAAACTGCAATTAAATAATTCTGTTTCTATACAAAGATTTCATTCTTGGTTAAGATCAAGGTTCCAGCCTTCTCTTTTTGATTAGTCCCTGGTTTGGCCGATATGGACTTCTATCTGTAAAGAACAAAATATCCATGAATGCAATAAAAAAAGTTTTTTTGTTTTTTTTAAATATGAATAAGTAAGGGTTTCTGCAATATAGATGGATGGCAAAATGGTTTCTGTAACTAATTGTTGTAGTCACTTCCATTCCCATTTACAATCCCTTTGCAGGACAACTCTGTTCCCTGCTGTGTAAAGCCAGAGTTAGAGGACAGACATATGTTATTTCCCCATGCTAAAGTAAAGACACACTCCAAATCAGCCAATGAGCTACTCTCTGCACCACCAGGCATAGCTCAGACAGAGAGCTTTTGGCTCTCTGTCGGAAGCAGTGGAGGCAGAGAGCAGCATTAAAGGGATGCTGTATTCCTGGCACTACCATTCCCCCTGCCTCCCTCACCAGTAAATAAAAGGTTGAAAACACTATTTACTTACCTTTTCCCAGCGCCAATGTCCCTCGGCGCTGGGTCGCAGCTCCGCCCTCTCCTCATTCTTGCAACGAGAAGGGTCTAATGCACATGCATGGCAAATGAAACGCGCGTATTAGACGTCCCCTTAAGAAAACAATGAATCAGTGCTTTCCTATAGGGAAAAATCTGATGCTGGAGATCCTCATGCAGAGTGTGAGGACATCCAGCGTCAGATACCAGAACAAAGATCTGTTTCAATTCAGGAAGGTCTCTATTGGCTGTCTGTCTGTTAGACAGCCACGGAGGACAGACTTAGAGCTGTAATGTAAACATTGCAGTTTCTATGGAACTGCAATGTTTTACATTGCAACGCTAACTGCAAAAGGGACACATCACCCAGACTACTTCAATTAGCCAAAGTGGTCTGGGTGCCTACAGTGTCCCTTTGTATGTACCAAAACAACTTTAGCTAAATTATTAGTTTTAATGTATAGATCATGCCTCTGCAGTCTCATTGCTCTGACATTTGGGAGACACATCTCCCTACATGTGACTTACACAACCTTCCTAAACACTAGTGAGATCTAATGTTTACACTTCTTTTATTGCACAGTTTAAACCAGGCTTCCCCAAACTCTGGCCCTCCAGATGTTGCTGAACGGCAACTCCCATGATTCTATGAATGAAAGAGATAGGCTGAGAATCATGGGAGTTGTAGTTCAGCAACATCTGGAGGGCCGGAGTTTGGGTAAGCCTGGTTTAACCCCTTAAGGACCAAACTTCTGGAATAAAAGGGAATCATGACATGTCACACATGTCATGTGTCTTAAGGGGTTAAAGGGATACTCCAACTTTTTTTTTCCATAAATCTGTTTATTTTAATTATTATCTATAAAGCACCAACAAGTTCTGTAGTGCTGTACAATGGGTGGACTAACAGACAAGTATTTGTAACAATACAAACTGGAAGAACAGGAAAAGAGGGATTGAAGACCTTGCTCAATGAGCTTACATGCTAGAAGGAGTGGGGTACACACAAGTGACACAAAAGGTAAGGGTAGGCTAGAAAAGTAGGTTGCGAGTATAATGTCCTATTTATTGGACATTATACATTAGGTCCCACTGCTTTCCATACCTGGGCAGTTGCACGAGGTCTCATCAGAGACTTCTCATATAGAAGCAGTTGTTTCACAGCTCAAAGCACATGCACTCATATCTCACACTCTGGGTCAGGGAGGGTCATGTGTGCTGGGGATGTAACAAGCAACCAGCACAAAAGTGCAGCTTACATAGTATACACAGTATTTCAAGCTGAAACACTGCACACATACATACTCCTTCCACCATGACCACTTCAAAACACTGAAGTTGCCATGGTGGTAGGACTAACCCTTTAATTCTGAATTTTTTTTTATTTTTATCTCCTTCACTGTTA